AATATGAGGGAGAGGGGAGAGAGACTGGAAACACAAGTTTCTTTAAATGAATCCATTTTCAGTCCTAATGTGGATACTTTAAAACACAAATGTAAAAGGCTTTAGGTCAGAGTCCTTTTTTTAAACTATGTGCACTTCACACAGCTGGGACACCTATGTGCAAGTCTCCTTAAGCTGTTAAAATCTAGATGTAATTATTTTTCCTTTATGCTGGGGGAGAGAGACTGGAAACACAAGTTTCTTTAAATGAATCCATTTTCAGTCCTAATGTGGATACTTTAAAACACAAATGTAAAAGGCTTTAGGTCAGAGTCCTTTTTTTAAACTATGTGCACTTCACACAGCTGGGACACCTATGTGCAAGTCTCCTTAAGCTGTTAAAATCTAGATGTAATTATTTTTCCTTTATGCTGCAGCATGGTCTCAATTTTTGTATAGCCCAGCAAGCATACACCCTCAAGACCTGACCAGCGCTGAACCAGAGAATTTGCTAGACTACGGGAGGTCAATATTGCCTAGCAGCATTACCAACACTTCACTGCTTACTGGACTCTTTCAGAAGACATTTAGGGGTAAATTAGGGGCTAAATCATAGCACAGCACCCTGAGAGCCTGGACTGGTGGCTGTAAACAAACTTTATGGGACTACAGGAAACTTGGCCATGCCCATGATAAATGGACATCTGGCTAACATGCTGGACCACTGATGTTGCTGGACCAAAGAGGTTTGACCTGGGCTAGGACATTTACCCAGTGTAGCTTGGGTCCTTAAAGGAGGGGCTCTGGGCAGGGGATTGGGAAAGTACAGGAGTCAGGATTGGAGGGAGGCAGGGCTTTGGGCAGGGGGACTGTGTGTGTGTAGGGGGGCATGTAGAGAGCTGAAATCCTGCCTTCTCTGAGATTCACAGAAGGGCTGTTCCCCCATCAGGGAGTGAGCGCCAAGTGCTCTGTTTCTCTGGAGGTGAGTGATGGGAGGGATCATGTGAGGATTACCTGTTGTGATCTCTCCCTCTGGGGCATGAGGGCTACATCCACACTGGCATGACTTTCCGCAAATGCTTTTAACAGAAAAGTTTTTCCGTTAAAAGCATTTGCGGAAAAGAGCATCTAGATTAGCATGGATGCTCTTCCGCAAAAGCAATTTGTGGAAAAGCGTCCATGCCAATCTAGACGCGGTTTTGCGCAAGAAAGCCCCGATCACCATTTTCGCCATCGGGGCTTTTTTACACAAAACAGTTTTTAGCTGTCTACACTGGCCCTCTTGCGCAAAAACATTTCTGGAAAAGGGCTTTTGCCCGAACGGGAACGTCAAAGCATTTGCGCAAGAAGCACTGATTTCAGACAGTAGAACATCAGTGCTTTTGCGCAAAATCAAGCAGCCAGTGTAGGCAAAAGCAACTGCTTTTGCAGAAAAACTTGCCAGTCTAGACGCAGCCCTGGTGTTTGCCTCTGTCAGAAGACAGGATGCTGGGCTGGATGGACTGTTGGTCTGACCCAGTAGGGCCATTGTAGTGTTCTTATAGCTCATCTGCTCCCTGTACTCCCCAGCCCCCTGTACTCCCCAGCCACAGCGAGGAATGCAGCAACCTGCACTTTTCTCTTGCTCCTTGATCAAGAGGAACAGCTAGCAGTGTCCCCATATGAATCTGGGGGGAGGGGGCTTTCAGCCCTGCCCATCCTCCATAAAGGGTCTCTGGGGAGGTGGGAGACTCAGGACTAGGGCACCCCCAGCCAGCCCCTTTCACCTGCTTGGTGATTGTCCCTTTTTCTGTATGGTTTTGAGAAGCAATTCCGTTCCTGGCAAATCCCACTTTCCTGGCACCACCCAACCCTTACCTTGCTTTATGTTTATAAGAGGAAGCTGTATATCGAATTTGGTGGTCCTAGCTTCTACCATTTAGGACAAACAGACAAACTCGCACAAATATATAGTAGATCTCTTGTAAATTATGGTCTTGTCTTCATGGCAACAAAGTGCTCTAGAGGGAGGTATTATTTACAGAGCAGTCGAATACAAACTAAACATTATTTTAGAGTATGCCAGCAGTGTTTACCCTGAACAATTAGTGTTCTATAACTGGCTTGCTCCTAGAGCACTTTGCCATTCAGTGCAGACAAGCCTTTAATGTATTATTCTTGCTATCTGAAAACACATTAGAAACTAAAACAGTTTTAATAAGGTATGTTGGAGTAATACTTGTTTTAAGAGTTTGCAATAAAAGGTTTACTGACAAAGACTTTATTGCTTAGTATCAAACTACTACTGTTAGGTTACTGCTTTTGCAGAGTGGATAGTTCTAGACAAGTATTGGCCTGCTTAATGCAACCACAAAGTTCATTATCACTTGTTCCCTGTAGTCACACTTCAAGTGTCATGAATAAAAACCGGTGACATCAATTTTTAATATATACAGATAAAATTAATTTAACCCCCTGTAACCTCTTATTTTCCTCCCATGATAAGCTGGCCAGCATTTCTGTCTGTATTGAACATAGTCACATCTGAACATAGCAGCCCCGTGTTTCCAAAGTTTCAGGAAATGGTCTAGGCACCAATGGCTATGAATTCTGGGGCCAACCGGAGCAGTGAGAGAAGGGGGGACATGATGCCATTGCCCTCTGAATGGTGCCCATTAACTCTCCACAGCATAACCATACTCCTGCTTATCCACCCCATAGAGCATGGATGTGTTAATTGCTTGAATGACAAAAGTCATTGCTCTGTGTGTTGGATACTTAGGGAGTGCTTGTATTTCCCTCTCCCAAAAAAAGACTTGTTTTTGTCCTCTACTGTAGAGGTACCCCCAGCCAGCAAAAGGTGAGAGAAGGCTTCATTCTTTCCTCTCAAATATCTTCTCTCTGCCAGTGTGAGATTCTGGGAATGGAAGAACAAGTTCAAGCCTGGTGTGTGGGAGACTGAAGAGGACCCCATAGGTAAGAGCACACAAGATGGGGAGAGGATATACTCAGAGGCTAGTATCGCAGGAGAGGTGAAATGGGGAATCTAGAACCCTTACTAGGAGGATTTCAGCTAGTGCCTGTAAACAGGGTGGAAGGGTAGAATGCATGTAGTTCTGTTGCATGCAATAAGCTCAGCCTATAGCTGTTATGATGTGTGTTCCCTTATATGGTACTTTACTTATGCTGGACATAAGGAGGAAATACTGTTCCACTACCGCCTCAAGGGGTGGAGCATTGATTTAGTAAAGCAGAGCCAAATATTAAAGCATTAGTAACGACAATGCCTGAAAACAGCTGTAACTTTATAGGCAAAAGAGTGAAAGGAGAAACTAGTATATGTCTGTGTTAAAGCTGGAGTAAAGTCAACATTTTTAGAGCCACTTACTGCAATGGCTGCACTGAGCTGGGTAGACTGGAGAGCATCTGTCAATTTCCCTTATGCTTCTCAGGGAGGTGGAGTATACACTGTGATAGGAGAGCCCTTTCACCAAACCCACTCACTCAGTGCCAATATAATGGCAAGCAAAGACATACCGGCTGTGTCTTACACTGGGCCACTTATTCCAGAAAATCAGCTGCTTTTCCAGAATAAGCTGCGAGCTGTCTACACTGGCCCTTGAATTTCCAGAAAAGCAACAATGCTCTACTGTACAAAATCAGCTGCTTTTCCGGAAAAACTATTCTGCTCCCGCTCGGGCATAAGTCCTTATTCTGGAACACTGTTCCGGAAAAGGGCCAGTGTAGACAGCCCAGTAGTCTTTTCCGGAAAAAAGCCCCAATCGTGAAAATGGCGATCGGGGCTCTTTTCTGGAAAAGCGCAGCTACATTGGCCACAGACACTTTTCCGGAAAAAGGGTTTTTCCGGAAAAGCAGCCTGCCAGTGTAGACGCTCCTTTTCCGGAAAAACTGAAAATGGAATAGTATTCCGTTTTAAGCATTTCCGGAAATTCATGCCAGTGTAGACACAGCCACCCTGAGTCAAGCAACAGGCATCTGACAACAGCTGTAGAGCTGCCCCCTGACAGAAATAGTGGTCTGCTTCGTCCTGTAACCAGTGATTGGTTTACATACAGTCTCAAGCCCTTTCACCTGTTTAACTGAACCAGTAAGTGTTATCCAATTTATGTAAACTAATATAGACAGGTCTTACAGAATGACACTCCATACAGGGCAGCTGTTTCTTACCTCTCAAATGCTATTTAAGAGCACTTGCTACATGGATATACAGAAAGGTATTAGTTAACCTCCAAAAATGAAAATCAGCTTCTTGCATAGAAGATCACTCCCAATACTTAGGACTATACAAGCCTTCCCAGACAGCTAGTCTAAGCCTTCTGGTCTTGGAAAAAAGCATGTCTAGTGCCTAACACTCCTGCCCTTTGTTTCACTTACATAGCCATCCTTTACTGCTATAATGCAACAACTGAGTTGAACAGCAAGGGGAAAACATGGACACTAGCAAAACCTGGACAATAGAGGTAAAGTCTAACTAAGCCTGCCTAACAGACTGTAGCCATGCAAGTTTGAGGCAGTCACTAGGAAATAGAACTTTAACTTAGCAATAGTGCTAGGCTATAAAATGCTTATTACAGGCACATGTGAGCAGCCTCATGCTGAAATACCTCCATTTCCCTTACAGACCTTAAAGCTAGGTAAATAGACCCTAGTGTATGACATGACAGAAGTATAACCATGAGTGGCTTATGTTATTTTGTGCAAGACTGCAGCAGCATACATTACAGCTTGTCAGTTACAAGAGAAATCCTAGTTCACCTTTAAAGTATGCCATTTGTACTAAACTTGTTCCTCTTCCCCTCATATTTGTAACACAGTATTGATAATTTTTTAATTCAAAGCTTTATTTCTGTTCAGTTAGGTGGAGTGATCAAGTGGGTTTAAACCTCTGGGACAGCTCTTCCAAGGCTTCTATTAGCCTTGCTTCCTCTTCTGGTGAAGAATACGTTCTGGCAAAGGGTAAGTGGGTAGCAACAGGTTGCCGATCTGAAAGAAGCAAAAAAATGTAGTAAGTCTTCCACCTCTCCCAGTACCGGTGCATCCTACTCCTCAAGCTGAACCACCAAAGCAATCTACATGTACACAGAATGATCCTGAGGCCAAAAGGTTAATCTGTGCTGGTGGATTTCTGCAATATTTAAATGTTCTTTTGGTAAATGAATTATTTTAATATGAAATCATTTAAACAAATCTCATTATAAATTAGGGATTTCAAAGGCCTGTCCTCATGAGACTGATTGATTTTTATAGATAAGATTCAAACCTGCTCTTTGAATTAACCCTGATTTTAGTTATTAGCGTAGTTGTACCAGTGCAATGACTTGCAGTGGTGGTGTTCAGTCTAGTTTCAAATAAGGATGTTAAATATCAGGTATTTGTGCTTTAAATTTCAGGGGTTACACATTTTATATCAGAGGCTGGGGGAGGTGGCTCCACTGGAACAGAGCCATGTTTGGACAGCCAGCATGAAAGCTACTTTCTGCATATACTGGCTCCTGCTTGCCCCCCTCTGTCTGAGGGAGATGGGGAAGGCAGGAGGCTCTGCTGAGACCAGCATGCATAGACGTACATCATAAAAACTGGCTCCCCCTGCACTGCCAGCTCCAGCCTCCCCTTGCTGCCTCTATCAGAGGCAGCAAGGGGGAGGGAGTGTGTGTAGTCAATAGGATTAACCAATAAGTCCTTTATCAGTTAATCATGTAGTTGACTACATGTAGATCCCTAGTTTCAAACCACAGAACCACCTGGCTTGGTTTTCAGAATGGAGATTTGCAATGGTGCATCTATTCCACAGGATGGAATAGGGCTAATTTTATCCTTAGTTTAGCATTATAAAATTAGCTTGCTAAGCACTCAACCTTTTCCTCAAGAGAATAAACTGGTTCTCAGTCAAAATGCTTAGCCAAACTTGCACAGTAAGGCATTCCTTGCCTGGATACATGAACCTCAGATTTCTTATTCAGTCTCTCCCACAGCTATACCAGAAAAGCACAAGGAATAGTAATTAATTACATACCTGCTCCTGAGTAGATCTAGGTCTCTGCCTTAACTCAATGACTGTGGTCTCACAACTTTTTTTAAACAGCAACTTTAGGTCACTACTGTGCCTTGGAGTATTTCTTCTTCAGCAGTATGGCTAGAATGTTTAGTGATGTCTGAAGTGACTAGTTGAGCCTAAAAGCCATGCTGTAAGCAGGTGGTTTTAGAGAGCAGGAAGTTTATATATATGCTTGTTAATGGATTAAACAGGATAAACCAGATCCTGGAAGGGGGGAGGGAGGGCTGACCCTGCCCAATCAGGCTACAGCTTAATGGGTAAGCATCACCCAGTAAGGGTGATAGTCTGGTTTGTCATCCAGCCCATCCTTGCACAAGAGTTCAGTTTCAAACACTACTATCAGCTCTACTGGAAGATTTCCATGAAAGCACGAGGGCCTGGCTCATATCTTCAGAGGAGAATTTCTAGGAAGGTGAAAATTGTCAGTTTCTAGGATAACTCACTGTACATGCAGCATTACATCTGTTTTCACTAAGCAGTGCACAGGAACCCAAACAATGAGAGAGGTGCTTGCTTTACTTTGAGGCAATAATTAATATTACTAGGAGAATTAGCCTATGTAGATAGTTTGGAACTGTAGTAATCTACCAGGTCAAAGGAGGGACCAGGTCTACCAAATCAGAGGAGGGAGAAGCAGTAACAGGAAACTTGGAAGTGGCAGAGATGCTCAATGACTTCGTTTCGGTCTTTACCGAGAAGTCTGGAGGTGTGCCTAATGTAGTGAATACAAGCAGAGAGAGGGTAAGTTTAGAAGATAGGATACACAAAGAAGAAGTTAAAAATCACTTAGGAAAGTTAGATGTCAGCAAGTCACCAGGTTCTGATGAAATGCATCCCAGGATACTCAAGGAGCTGATAGAGGAGGTATCTGAGCCTTTAGCTATGATCTTTGAAAAATCATGGCAGACAGGGGAGATTCCAGAAGACTGGAAAAGGGCAAATATTGTGCCCATCTATAAAAAGGGGAATAAGAACAACCCAGGAAATTATAGACCGGTCAGTTTAACGTCTGTCCCAGGGAAGATAATGGAGCAGGTAATTAAGGAAATCATATGCAAACACTTGGAAGGTAATAAAGTGATAGGGAATAGCCAGCATGGGTTTGTGAAGAACAAGTCATGCCAAACTAATCTGATAGCTTTCTTTGATAGGATAACGAGCCTTGTGGATAAGGGAGAAGCGGTGGATGTCATATACCTAGACTTTAGTAAGGCATTTGATACGGTCTCGCATGATATTCTTATTGATAAACTAGGCAAATATAACTTAGATAGGGCCACGATAAGGTGGGTGCATAATTGGCTGGATAACCGTAGTCAGAGAGTTGTTGTTAACGGTTCTAAATCCTGCTGGAAAGGGATAACAAGTGGAGTTCCTCAAGGGTCTGTTTTGGGACCCGTACTGTTCAATATCTTCATCAATGATGTAGATATTGGGATAGAGAGTACTCTTATTAAGTTTGCAGATGATACCAAACTGGGTGGGGTTGCAACTTCTTTGGAGGATAGGGACATAATTCAAAATGACCTTAGCAAGTTAGAGAAATGGTCAGAGGTAAACAGGATGAGGTTTAATAAGGAGAAATGCAGAGTGCTCCACTTAGGAAGGAACAATCAGTTCCATACATACAAGATGGGAAGCGACTGTCTAGGAAGGAGCATGGCGGAAAGGGATCTAGGGGTCATAGTGGACCACAAGTTGAATATGAGTCAACAGTGTGATGCTGTTGCCAAAAAAGCAAATATGATTCTAGGTTGTATCAACAGGTGTGTTGTAAGCAAAACTCGTGAAGTCATTCTGCCGCTCTATTCTGCACTAGTTAGGCCTCAGCTGGAGTACTGTGTCCAGTTCTGGGCGCCACATTTCAAGAAAGATGTGGAGAAATTGGAAAGGGTACAGAGAAGAGTGACAAGAATGATTAAAGGTCTAGAGAAGCCTATGAAGCCAGGCTTCATGAACTGGGCTTGTTTAGTTTGGAAAAAAGAAGATTAAGGGGGGACATGATAGTGGTTTTCAAATATCTAAAAGGGTGTCACAAGGAGGAAGGCGAAAATTTGTTCCTCTTGGTTTCTGAGGACAGGACATGGAGTAATGGGCTTAAAGTGCAGCAGGGGAGGTTTAGATTGGACATTAGGAAAACATTCCTAACTGTCAGGGTGGTCAAATATTGGAATAAATTGCCAAGGGAGGTGGTGGAATCTCCCTCTCTGGAGATATTTAAGAACAGGTTAGATAGACATCTGTCAGGGATGGTGTAGGTGGAGCTTGGTCCTGCCTTGAGGGCGGGGGGCTGGACTCGATGACCTCTCGAGGTCCCTTCCAGTCCTATTATTCTATGAAAGCTATGGAGGAAAGTTTCCTGCCTGTGGCAGGCCAGAAGCAGTCTCATTAGCAGAAGAGAAGGAATTATTTGAGCCTAGGGACATGCCTTCACTACCCACTGGATCCACAGGCAGTGACTGAGCCACCAGGGCTCACATTTTGTACAGATGAGGTAAACTGAGTGCTCTTCCATTGACTCTGCCAAAACAAGATGTGTGGGTGTAGTTGATAAGAGAGCATCTGTGGTTGACTTACTAGTGTGAAGATGCCATGGTAAGCAGACCTAAGTCAGTCAACTTCAGCTATGTTATTCATGTAGCTGAAGTTGTGTAAGTTATGTCAACAGTGTGGTACTATACACAAAGCCTTGGACAGCCTACTCCCAACCCCCTTCCCTCCTCAGCAAAAAACTGTGACTAGGGCTTATATTCTGTACCGAAACTGAACAGAATAAGGAAGGTGAAAGAGAAACAGCTGGGGAATAGAAGCAGAATAGCTGTGTGTTAATTTAGTTGGGCATATTTCCTTTTATTATGGGTTAGTTTCCTGACAGCTATTTGTTAAGACAGCAATGGATGACAATGCACTGTTCAAGAGGGACCCCAAAGGATAAGGGCAGAGAGAGTATTTAAAAATGAGATTTCCTCAGAGTAGTCAAAAGGAACTGAGCCACTAAGCCCCAGGGTTCCCCAACTGACAAAACAGGCAACAAAGTAACTAGGGGCCAACCCTAGACTCTTTGCTCCCATCGCCAATGCTACAGCCTTGCCAAGTCCAAAGCTTGTAGGAACACAGCTCCGGTCGACCTCATGATTACAGTCCCGCTGCCTGTTCAGAGTGAACTGGGCATGGATGAGGTGGTGACCCAGAGGAGACAACAATGTAGCAAGAAGTGTGGTCAGAGCAGACAGAACAGAAATAAGAGGGAGGAAGAGAAACTTAAGGATGAAAAAAAGGCAAAACCCCTGCTTTACAGCAAGAGGTTTGAACATGCCTCACAAACAATTTCATCTGAAAATAAATTCCAGTCAGGTTTACGGACAGCTGATTCAAGCCTGTAGTTTACTGCTCTTAGGGGTGAGTGAGGGATGTTAGTCTCTTTTTAATTAAAAAGTTGACTAAGGGTGGTTCAGTTACCTAGAGAGAGAATGGAGCTTTTTATGAACAGGGGCCCAGACTGTGGCCTGTCTCCCACATGCTAGGTCTGAACTGCCTTTGGAGTAGAGGCAGCACAAAACTGCACCTGCTTGAGCAATCACTGTATGAGTGGCAGAAAGAATATTTAAAGCCCTTTCCCACCCTCCTCTGCATTAATCCCCACCCCGATCACCAACCCAGCTGCAGTTCAATCTCATCTCAGCTGGTCTGCACTGTTCACAGTAATAAACAATTTGACTTCAAGTTCCCTCCATGAAGCTTCAGAAAGAACAAGCACACACTTTCACCTGGGCACTGTTAATGAGAACAGGAGAAACGGGAGCTATGTTAATTGTATAGCTGAAGTCGAAGTAGCTTAACTAGGCTTCAGAAGCTGTCTACACAAACTTGAAGGAAGAACACTCTTCCTTCAACTTCCCTTATTCATGAAATAAGGGTTACGGAAGTTGGAATAAGAAGCCTGTTATTTCAAAATAACAGGCTTGTGTAGACACGCACAATGAATACAACTCCTCGGTCCTCTGTACAGAAGGCAGCAATCTGTCTGGTGTCACTACAGGCTCGCTTTGCCTAGTCTCTGCCTTGTCATGTGCAGAGCTATCTTAAACCCAGACGTCACATCTAATCAATGCCAGCTGGTTGAAAGGGCAAAGCTAGCAATATATCATCAGTTTGAACAGTTCCTTTAGTTATGCAACACCGTGCTTAGCCATTGGAGTCGCACATTATAAACAATTTCAGGAACTATATTAACCCCTGGTGTTTGACCACTCTTGTCCTTTGGCAAAAACAATAATTGTACAATCAGTGCAACAATAACAATCTTCCCTCCTGTTCCATGTATGAAACTTCCACCTTACCTTGGAAGAACAGGCCACTTGCTTGCTTAGCTGCTGCAGGCGAGACTGCCAGCCACACTACTGTATCAGCTCCCTGAGCCTCTGTGCGCAGTTTGTTCTTCATCCTTTCATAGAATTCTGGCATCGCTGATCTCACAGCTGCAGTGAAGAACAGTGTGAAGGTGTTGTGTCAATCAAGGCTTTTTGCTAAAGAGTTTTTTAAAGTTTAAAATAGTACTAGTTTTTTGGTAGTGTGAAAGCAGTGCCCTTTTAAAATCAGGGCAAGAAGATGCTATTGTCCCAGGGATGGCAGATCCTGGTGAAAAGTTAGGTTGTCAAAAGATGAACCAGCGATTTCACATTGTTTGGATTAAAGTGTCCAAAGACAGTCACAAGGCTGAGAGAAGTTCCCCGGTTGTTTGAAGTGAATGCAAAACATGAGAAAACAAATGGTGTAAATTATCTGGTGATTTAGTATAAAATCAATGAAAATAGCTAACTGCTAGGAATGAGATCAACCCTAACCAGTGTAGTCTTTTGAATTATTTTACAAACACATGACCAAAAAAACCCAAACAAAAAAAAGATCACTACTATTCCCTAAGCTACACACAATGCATTTAAACTGAGTGGCTGTGTCTAGACTGGCAAGTTTTTCCGCAAAAATCATTTGATTTTGCGGAAAAACTTGCCAGCTGTCTACACTGGCCGCTTGAATTTCCTCAAGAACACTGACGATCTCATGTAAGATCGTCCGTGTTCTTGCGGAAATACTATGCTGCTCCCGTTCGGGCAAAAGTCTTTTTCCGAAAGACTTTTGCGCAAAAAGGCCAGTGTAGACAGCACAGTAGTGTTTTCCGCAAAAAAGCCCCGATCGCGAAAATGGTGATTGGGGCTTTTTTGCAGAAAACCGCGTCTAGATTGGCCACAGACGCTTTTCTGCAAAAAGTGCTTTTGCGGAAAAGCATCCTGCCAATCTAGATGTGCTTTTCCAAAAATGCTTTTAACGGAAAACTTTTCCGTTATAAGCATTTTTGGAAAATCATGCCAGTGTAGACGTAGCCAGTAAGTGTGAAGTAAAACTTTGGGAAAGGAAAGTTGATGCCTATATTTTTGACCAGCAGAAAACTGCAGAGGGATACCCAGAGTTGCACAAGGCCAATGGGTGTTGGGGAAGTTCTCTATGAGGCAAAGCCAGCCCCTGGATTTATAAAGGGGTATTCTGAAGCCTGTTAAGAAGTGACATTCTAGAGCATGGGTTCCCAAACTGGGGGGGAGGGGGGGGGAAGCATGAAGAAATTCCAGGGAGGGCGCAAGGCGACCCAGCCACCCCTCCATCAAGTTTTGCTGCCCTGCTCAGTTCCCTCCCCCCACAAAGCTTTTTTTTTGGGGGGGTGGGCATGATGCTGAAGAGTTTGGGAATCACTGTTCTAGAGAATGTAAAAATAAAGACTTGTGACTAGACAGTGTCCTTTGACCTAGGCTGGAAATCTTTTATTGTGTATCCACCCTCTTTACAAGACAGAATAAGCTGAAATCTACTGAGGGGGGCTGAACTACAAGGGTGGTATGGGAGAGCAATAGAAGATACTCAAGCACACAATCGGGACTGGTGGTTTCCAAGCTCAAAGCAGAAAGGAGAGGGATATCACTGGGGGCCCACATTCTGAAGCATGTGTGGGGGTGGGGGTGGAGAGGAGGAATTACAGGAGCAAGTCAGACTACACTGCAGATCTGCATCCCCAGCTCCATCTGAGCTCAGGCTCCCTGTAAAACATGACAGCAAAGGATTCTAAAACTACCACCTTTCAAGAATTTAAACTGAAGATATTGGTGAACCTGTTAGGCAAATTTACAATAATGTCATATTGCAATTCAATGTTAGACCAAGACAGGGAAGGGATAAAAGCCTTTAGCAGACCGTACCTGGTGTATCTGCCCAGCCAGGATGCATGACTGAGAAATGAATATTTTTGTGCACCTTAGCCCATTGTTCTGTCAAGACTACTTGCTGTCTCTAGGATACAACAAAAAATTCCATACTGAAAAGACCACTGATTAATTTAGTCTGTTATCCTGTCTCACAGTAGACAGTAACAGATACTTCGAATACACCCATAAAACACTGTGATTATCAGGTGACAGGCATTACAGAACATGTGCCACTCATATTGGGAACCTGTAATAACTGGATAAAGCAGCTATTCATTAGATAATGTTAGAGAGATGAGGGGAGTGAGTTCCTATCTTTTATCAGACTAAGTTTTGTTAGTGAAAGAGCATGGGCAGCGAGTTATATGGGCTCGTGGTGCCCATGCTCCAGCAATATTCAGAGCCGGGGCCCTGCTCCAGCAATATTTGGAGCTGGGTCTCTCCTCCGGCCCTGCCTGGAACGGGCCCCAGCCCCTGCCGGCTCCCCCCCCCGTTCCCCCCCGGCCCTGGACCGTCCCTGCCATGCGCAGCATTCAGTCGGCTCCCCCTTGCCAGCACACGCTGCCCAGCTGCTGCTGCCACCATGCGGGGCATTCCCTGACCTGGGGAGACACCTGAGCATGATGTGATGTCACAGCCCGTGACTTTAAAACTGCTCAGTGCGGCATTGCGCCACAAGGCCTAGCTCCCCGTTCGGAGTCCGGGGACTTCTGGGGCCAGAGTGCAGACTCTCGCCCTGCAAAGTGGAAGGCAGAAAGTAGGGGAGACCAGGGAAGGGGGAAAACTAGGGGGAAGGAATGGTAGAGGAAGGGGCTTGTGCGGAGGGGGAGGAGGAAGAAAGAAAGGGGTAGGCACCAAGGAACAGCCTGGAGGAGAGACAAAATGGCAGGAGCGGAGGTGTAAGTGGGAGGGGGACAGGGTGATGCTGGGAGAGGAGAGGGTAAGGACACTGGGGTCTACAGGGAAGGAGGGGGAGGTGCTGGGAGAAGGCTTGAAATAAGGGGTGGGCATGAGAAAGGTGGGGATGGAGCAAGTCATGTGAGGGCACAGAGGGGCATGAGGGAAAAAGGGGGCAAAGAGGGCAGGGGCAGTAAGGGAAGGGGGAGGCACCAGGAGGGTGCAGGGGTAAGGGAAGGTGCAGGTGCCAGGGGATTCTGGGGATGAAGCAGAAGGGCAGACACCTGCAGGGGACGGACCAGCACCAGAGGAGAGAGGCAGGGCAGGTTTGTAGAGGGAGATGTTAGAAGAGGGGATGAGGAGGGGTAGCTCACATGAGCAAAGCGGGGCTACTGGAGGAGTGGGCACAGGGGGGATAGAAGGGCTGGTGGCGGGGGGCAGGTCACAGGAGGGCTGAGGGCAGTGAGAAGGGCATAAGTCAGGACAGCAGGGGAGGGTGAGGAGTTGGGGGCAGAAGGCACCAGGGGAGCTGATGGAGCAAGGGGAGGAGACATGGCAGCAGAGAGAAAAGGTAAAGGTTTATAAAATATTTATTAATAACTTGGGTGCCACAATGGCATATCCAAACAAGCCCCATGAACTCAGTACTGGTGCACAACACAAAATTCATTCTGCTCATGGCAGGAAACTCTTAGGTTATGTCTACACTGGGGGCTTCTTGCACAAGGGTTCTTATGCAAGAAGTCTTGCACAAGAACACGTCCACACTGCCATGTGTGAGCTGTACTTTTGCACAAGAGCATCCATGGCAGCGTCAACGCTCTCTTGCGCAAGAAGACTCGTCAACACTGCCATGTGTGAGCTGTGGTTTTGCACAAGAGCATCTATGGCAGCGTGGATGTTCTCTTGCCCAAGAAAGCTCCGATGGCCATTTTAGCCATAGGGGTTTCTTGCACAAGAAATCCCTGCTGAGCATCTACACTGCCCTCTTACACAAAAGAGCTTATACCTGTTAGAAAAGAGTGTAGCTCTTCCACAAGATGCCCTCTCTTACCATGCCGTACTGTAAATTTCCTTGTGCAAAAGCAGGCGGGCATTGTGGATGCTCTGTGAGTTCTTGCGCACAAGTGAAGACATAGCCTTAGAGGGAACACTTCCCCCAGCCTCTCTGCCCCCGAGTTAATGTCACACCCATTGGGTTAATGCAATTGCAGGATAATTGCATGAGGGGGGTTTGGTGGGGGCCAAACTAATCCCTGTTGGTAGGAGGGTGGTGGGCAAAGTCCTTCCAGAGGGGTGACATGACACCTTTTACTTCTAGACATGATTGCTCTCTTTAAATATATTAGAGGGATAAATACCAGGGAGGGAGAGGAATTATTTAATCAGGGAGCATGGCTAACAAAGCACCACTAAAAATTATACAAACCTGCCTCCCCTGTGAAAGAGAGCAGTTTTTGACCTATGTAGAACTCTTCAAGATAACGTTATCAGAGACCAGATGGAGTGGTAAAAGTAATCACGTATGCAGCAATAGGAACCTTTCTTTTAATAAAAAAAACCAAAGCTTTTAGCTAACCAGTTCAGGCAGCTTTCCTTCATCAACTCTATTTACTGCAGGCTAAATATAGGGACAGAAAATGGAAAGAAAAAAAAAATGACAAATCCAGGCTAATTTTCTGCCTCATCCCTTCTAAAAAAAATTGTTGGGGTTGGGTCAAATCAAACACTGGTATTGCTCTCTTGCAGTGCAAGATTTAGCCACTCCTCAAGCTTCTCTAATATTTACTGTTA